TGGTGGGGCCTGGCCGCATCCCCTCCTCCCCCTTCAGCTCAGCTTCCCTGCAGCCCTCCGGCCACTGCCCAAGGGAAGTGAGGGCTCACTCTAGCACCCCCTGGCTTCTAGCACTGCAGGCATGTGGCTGCATTTCCAGAATCAAAAGTGAATGTCTGTTCACTTGCTTATTGGTTCAATCTACGCAGGTTAGACTAGCGTTCAAAGATTGAATCAATTCAGGCTTGGACTTTTTGACTGTCTGCACTTAGCCCAAGTGCAGCCCTAGGGCTTTCCTTGCTTGTATGTGTCCTACCACCATGCAAAGGCATAATGTACATTACATTGCCGTTCAGAGGTGAAAAAGGATTGTTGTGATAGGAAAAGACAGCATCGAAGTGTTGCTCTTTGTTCTTTTCTGTGCTTGCGTCAGCCTGGACGCAACCTTTGATCATGGATAGCTGTTGATTCTGCTTATCAGAGATTTATTTGGTAATGAGGATATGAGGCAATATCTACATTTGCCTCGAGGAGAGGAGATGCAGAGATTCTATTCACTAATAACCATTATCCAGCATGGTTTCTTTTCATTGAGCTCAGAATGGTAATACCCTGATTTTATGATACAGTAAAATTGGACTCTGGATTTGACATCAACACAAGCTTAGAACCATCTTTCCTCCCACTACAACCCATCTTTACCCTACTGTTACTGTTTCACAAAAGTTTACAAGACTCATTCTCTCTAGACCATCTGAGCAGAAAAACTGCCTGGGACATAGCTCCTCCAAAGTACGCATTGTATTTATATGTGAGCTTTTCTGTAGACTCAACCAGATGTCTGACACCCGAAATTCAGGGCATTTTGACTGCCTGAGGACCACAGTTCAGTGTGCAATTAAAAAGGGAAAACATTTGTAGTGAGAGAGAAATGTGTAAATGTATGAGCTGCTGCTGTATACTAGCAACCATCCCTTTTTTCTCATTATCTGAAACATTCCAGTAGTTAGTAATATATCTAATTATTAAGCAGCAAGATACAACAAGTTTAATATTCTGAGGAGTACTGGCATGCCTCAAGTGCTCACAGAGGCATGAAATGAGGCATATTTTTTTGCCACATAAGATGCACCAACACACATAGCCAAACATAGTTTCTGACATGGCATGCAGGGATCTGAGGTGTATCCGGTATAAAATATGCATTAGTAATATCCTTCCCCCCAAAATAAACCATTTATACATCTATAAAAGGGAGTTAAACACAGGTTCTTGAGGAAGAGATTTCCAAAGGACTGTTGCCTTTGTGTAACTGTGGTAAAGATACCACAAGAACTTAAATGTTACAGTTAGGTAATATAGCTGGATGGAACTAAATTAACATTGTTTTAAGGAAGAAGAACACATCCTTGTTCTGTTACGTGCTACTTTAACTAAGAATGAAACACGTCTTTGGTTTTAAAGTATTATTTGTTTATTTCTATGTCATCTTCACGAGATCTCGGCTAAAGGGCCCCATTGCGGTACACAGGGTAACAAACAGCGTAAATAGCTATCGTGGTCCTTAGGCCCTTAATATTGAAGGTAAAATGTTTAGAAGTGAGAAGTGATTTGTAGGCCTTGTTTTTTGGCTGCTCAATTTGAGACATGTTAAAGAGATCTGAGCAGACATCCTTAGAAAATCGGATCCCTTTTAAGGAACTTCAGGTTGGGCCTGTAATAAGGAGAGGGTTAAGGGGATAATAGCCAGTCTGCTTCAGACCACTAGCTCAGTGGACAGAGGTGATGGACTGAGCTCAGAGGAAGTTAAAAGCTCCCAAGAAGGGAAGCTGAAGAGGAAGGAGATGAGACTGGTGCTTAGAAAGAAGCACAGGGACTGCATCTCTCCTCTAAGTCTGAAGGAAGACCACAGGTTTAATTTTGTGTTTGTTCTTTGCACCTGTACCTGTTTTGTTTGCTGTGATGAGAAGACCTTTTTTATTTGCCATGGTCAGAAGCTTGCTACACATATAATAAATGAACTTGCTTTTATGAGGAAACTGGCTCCTGAGTCTGGCTAAGGGCGTGTAAACCCACTACAGGCCCCCCAAAATTAAGATGCCCAAAATCACTTGGCACTTCCCAGAACTTAGCTGGAAATGAATGGCATTCAAAAATGGGAGAGAGGAGGTATTTTAACTTACAGCTAGATCTTACACTTGTTCTTTTTAAACTGACTAGCTATCATTAGGTCTTTCTTGACCAGTCTGATTATTGCCTTAGCTCCACCTCTTTGTAGCCACAGCTTTTAATAACACTTGGCACACAAGAGTTTAGTGATTTGTTTTTCCTTTTAATTACTGTAAGAAGTGAATCGGATTTTCTCAAGACAGGGGAAGAGCCTGTGATAAAAGCCTGGCTTAATTGTAGATGTAGCACTTCCTGAAAAATTATATCTCCTCCCTACAGCAAAGAAAATCTTTTTTAACCTTAAAGAAATCTCCTGCTTCTTTCTATGGTCTGATACATTCCCATCTTTATTATTACCCCACTGGCTGGAATTAGTCTTCAGAGGGATGGTTAGACGGAACCTAGCCACAAGGGTGTACCTTCCCAGTTAAAACCCTATTTAAACATTTTTAAAGTGTCCTTATTTATCCTTTATGCTCGCTTGCTAGCACAATTGATTTTTTTTCTCTCTGCTGGAGAAGTTGGTAAGTTATCCCTGCAGATCAGCATGAGGCCAATCTAGTATTTCGTCCAGTTTTTTTTTAAGTGGGTGCCCTCTCTATTAACTTCCCAGCTCCTACCAAGCCTGAAATCAGCTCAGTTCTCAGATTGTGTAGAAAGTGTTTCCTGCCACAGGTGGAACCACATCTCTGCTCCCAAATGAGTATTTGTAAAGAGCCTATTGATGTAGCCACAGGATTACAGTAGGACTCAGAGAATAAGGAGTAAAAGCTACTAAGGCCCTACAATTTAAAAAATATAATAAAGACTGAGGTAGAATTGATCTTGCTGTTAGAAGATGGGTCCACAGCAAGAAGGAAATGGCTAAGAACATGGCAGTTTTCATACGCTCCTGCTCTCTCCATTGTCGAGGCTACATTCAGACAGAGGCATAAGGAGCATATGGAACAATTGGCCTCGAGGCAGTTTTTTATCCCATTCCACACACCCCTGAAAATTGCAGGGTTCACATTCTAGCCCCTCCATCCCATTCAGATCTTCCACAGCCAGAGCTTCAAAGATTTGGGTTGGGTGGTACAGATAAAGGAAAACTGACAAGCTGGAGGATCCAATCACTCCACCGAGAATGGCTCAGTAGGTGTAATTTTTAAGGGGAGTTGTATAGGAGGCCACAGCCAACATGAATATGAGCCCACCTACATACCACTTTGGTAGCATTAATATTCCATTATCAGCATGGTTTGGAATCTGGCTCAAAGGTCCAGATCCACTTATAAATGCCCAAATCTCTACTCCTTCATGGACACACATGCACACACAGTCATGCAAGAGGAACAATTCAACTAAAAACCGTAACGAACTCATCATGCCACAGTCTCTCCTTACTCTTATGAGGCATTAGGTTCTGAACTTGCACTGCTGTAGCAAAGATGTGAACTGCAAAACGGGTGATGCCAAGAGCTTCCTCTGTGAGAAATTAAGTTATGCTTTAACAAATCTCGGTGAAATGACTCCGTGAGTTTGTCTCACTGCACAGCTCCGTGGCTGTGGTGGTTAGCATGTATCAGTGATGATAACTAGTAAATAATGGAAGGGCTCTTACCAAGTAGTGCTAGGTTTCTCACATCAAGGCAGCAGGAGATAAGAATTCTGTTGGGGAACGGAAAAGGAGTAGTCATTAATTTTCTCTTTCTGTGCTGAGGTTGTGAGGAACAGGAGCCCTAGAGGGTGAGATGCCCTGATCATGTGTTCGTCTCCTTCTTGGCTACATAGAACCAGAAGCAGAGTTGCTGGGCAGGACCTCTAATGAGGAGGAAGGCAGATTGCAAGCCTGCTTCTCCACACCTATCTGCCTTAGGATTTGAGCTCCTCACATCTTCAGAGTCTTTGGACTAGAGAATGAGAGCTGCAGTGGAGCAGTCCTCCCCAGACCGAAGGCCTACAGAATACTCCTTGGCTCTGCGCCGCGCTACTTCCATCTCTCTCCTTCCACCTGCACACCAAGTTCGGTGGGGTTGCACACACTCTCGAGGACAAGGCTAGGATTCAGAATGACTTTGCTAAACTGGAGAAATGGTCTCAAATTGGCTAAAGTTAACCAAGGACAAGTGCAAAGGCCTGCACTTAGGATGGAGCAATTGAACACACAAATGTGAACTGGGAAACAGTAGTGTAACAAAGGCAGGGTGACCAGGGCAGCAGCCCTAGGCACTGACTTCGAAGGCGGGAGGTGGGAAAAATAGCAACTGCCATTGCAGTTGCACAGACACACCAAACACACAGCAGCAGCCAGAAGCTGCTTCTGCTTCTGTTTGTTACAGCTGCCCCGGTGAAGATCTGCCTTGTTACACTGCTGCTGGGGAATAATCAGCTAGACTAGATGATCTTTTGAGGGCCTCTTACCCAGTATGTGTTGGGGAAGGAAACATCCAAACTCTGCTTGGGAAGTAAAAGAGTCTTTCTGGGGATTTGATTCTAGTGGGATTGATGAAGGAAGCAGGCAGTAGCAAGGGTGTTTCAGATAGAAGGGCTTGCTTTCCTGGAGTTGGATACATTTAATGCTATTTATATTGTGGTGCAATATGCGTGTAGCATGGATTAAATCTTGTGCATGGACATTCTCTTCATTCTCGGTCCAAACTTGCTCCTTATCCAGGGGGCTAATTAAGTGACAGGAGTGCCAGCGATTGGGAAAGCTCCTTAGAGTATCAGTAGAAAGTCTATGAAGATTTTTTCTTTGTAATAAGCATACATTTGTATAGCACACAGCTGCCTTTTTATTTCAGTTGAAGTACATTGCAATTTCCTTACTTGAAGTGAGTGTATATTTATTGTCTGTTTTTCTTTTGCAGCCCCAGCAGAGAGTTCTCCATAAATATTACCAGCCTGTAAAGCTGCTGTCCTGCCAGTTGAACTTTCCTTCATGAAATGTGTTACAAATGGCACTGCCAGAAGATGACCATGGAGGATTGAAAGATGAACTGAAATAAAACCATCCAGTCAAGATGATACATTCTGGAAAGCCCTGGCTTGCTGTGGAATGAAAATGTGCATAATATACAGTGCTGATTTGTTCGGAGTAGTCACTGACAGACCATTAGCTGGAAACTTACTTCCAGTTTTCATCACTGTGCATAACTTTGAGTTCCCACTAGGGAACTATCTGTGCCCTTCACTGGAAGTCCTGTTTTAGCATGACAACTACTGGATTCTTTTATTATGTATGCAGATGGCATGATGTTTTAGGAAAAACTTACAGCAGATCTCCCATCTCAGTGGATATGTTCACAATATTTCACTCCTGATAGGAATGTAACCATGTCTTGTGTATGTTAGTTATACAGTCAAACGATATTCCATTTAACTATAGCAGCACTTCACGTGTGCTCTCCACACAGAAGACTTAGCACGTTCCATACATTTAATAAAAGGTCTTTTTAGAAAAGGTAAAATATGTTTCGGTACTTATGCTGAGACCATATCCAAAATTAAGGCTTCACAGTTTCCTAGTAGATTGCAAAGATATATTTCTCATAGCAAATGTGCCACTCCTTTTATTGAGACTTACAGAACCGCTACTGTGGAAGTAGCCAGGAATAGGGTAGTTGAATGGGTTATAGGACATTGTGTCTAGTCTTCCCTGTTCCCCACCAAATCCTGAGCTCAGCATTTCTGCTGTGCCAGTGCATTTCCCAGTGAGTTGTAGGGGAAAGGATCCTTTCTCAGGCATGTATTATGCCCCCAGTTTTTATCTACATTAAGGATAGAGCCTTCTATGCAAATCACTCATTGTTTTGGGTGGCATGGTATAGAGCGCCTGAACTCTTCACAGAGAACAAACCATGCAAAGTGGATTAAATACTCTTAGAGAGTAGGGCTCTCTCTGTAGAGGACATCAACTTCTATTAATATTTCCCCCTTATTCAACCCTAAAAACAGTTTTAGTATGAACTAGGAATGGGCAAATGGCTCTAATAAACTTTTCAATATACTGTAGCAGGCTCAAGACTGTTGCATTCAACCTGAGCATTGTTATTTTTTGTTCGGTCTCTTAAGTGGCTGATACCATCATCGGTTGTATCACAGCTGGCTGAGATACAATTTTTATTCACAGGGACTTTGGGGAAGTAATTTCCATTCCTCATATTGGGACCTACTTGAAACACTCTTTTTAATAAAATATTGTCAGCAGCCTGCTGAGGGACCAACATGGTTGTTCCTGCCATCCCTAAATCAAAGGTGCTGCTTTGGGTGTCTAACAACCATCCTTCTCTCCAGCCTAATGGACTGTTACTATGGCATCTGCCAAACCTGTAGTGAGCCTTTCATGTTGGAGACATAGAGACCCAACAATGGAAGGAAGCTGCATCCTGATGTAACTGTAGTAAGTCAGAAGAGTTAACACTGAGGGAATATGCAATGTACAATATACAATGTGTATATTTTTGGCTTTTTCAGGTAGGTATGCACTATGTTGGAAATCTTTTCCCCTCTCTGGTGTACAGCATCCTGTGTCTTTAGGACAGGAAGGTTCAGGATGTTGCACACAGCCTAATAGCAAATCAGAGCCAAAATATAATTAACAGTGGCAAGACTTTCAAAAGTGATTTGTTTTTTTGAGAGTCAGAGCTCAGCATGTTTCTCAAATTGAGCAACCATTAACTTAAGATGTCCAGAAGCACTATTTACTTTTTGAAAGTCCAGGCCCAGAATTTTAGATGTATTGGTTATGAAGCCCCCTAAAGACAGAAGAATAATATCCGATCAGTGCAAAGATGCTACAGAAGTACTTGCCAATGTGTCCTTTGAAGAGCTGCCCACAGAATGGCAACTTACAAGCTGATAATTATTTAATTAACTAGTCACATGCATTGCAGAATTTTGTTCCTAAGTTTTAGTATGTTTTGTAGTCCTTTCTCTTATAGTTTTTAAAAATGCAGTGTGAAGACTGAGATGTGTCTATTTTCTAGGTCAATCATATTGGTACTGCTGCTTAAAAATATGATAACAATTTGCGTAAAAAGAAACAGAACAGGAGATACTTATGTGGTAAGAATCCTCTTATTTTACTATGTAATGATAATGTCTAGAGTAATTCAAATGATAAAGGACTGATCATCAGGGATTGGTATGCTCCTTGAGTATGAGAGAAGATATGTTAGGCTAACAGCTATTAGAAGCATTTTATATATCAATGTTGGTCTTGAACGTCTTCCAGTACATGAGCTTGAAGTTAGATGTGAGAACTATTTCTCTCAAAGTGCTTTGTTTTAAGTGATTCCCAGGAGTATAGTTGTGATGATCTTGAAAAGCAGTATTATATGAACTGAGAAATGTGCAAATAAGATGCAGATCATAGTCCAGTTGTATTCAATGGGAGTTTTGCCATAGATTTCCATGGGACAAGTTTTGATCTTATGTTTGAAACAGACTTAGACCTGGAACCTACAAAAACTTCCACATGTGAATAATTTTAGGCATAATATTACTCCTGCTGAGTCTGATGGGCCTACTCACATGTGTAAAGTATCTCTGGCATGGGGCTGTAATGAACTCACTATGCGTTGGATTTGTATTTAACTTGTCACCGTGTTTCGGTATTTTAATCACTTTTATTCTCCCAAAGTAGGCCATGCTTCCTCAGGGATATTTATGAAATGAGTATACACGTATTGAACAACTGTTTGAATCCCAGCACTGTCCTTAGAAAACTTTGTTATATAAGTAAGTGTGTAGGAGAATTTTTATTATTGTGAATGGGGGTGAGTACTATGTTCTCAGAAAGGCTACTGAATTCCAATTTCCAAGTCTGTTGAAGGTTTTTGATGCTGAATACTTTATTAATAGCAGACATATCCACTTTTGCCTGGGTCCTGAGATCAGTTGCATGGAAAGAATGCTCTGTATTTGTTCAATAATTCATTTTATGTACTGGGTGCCAAGATCAAGTCAACATGAAAGGGAGGGAATAAGCTATTTTTGAAATCCCTTAGTTCTGTGCAGAAGGGTAGGATGCCAATATCGTTTTGTTAAAACAGTAACTTTCAACCCTGGTGAGATGTATATATTTGCATATGCCACTGTCACCCTTAAATTTGGTACTGTGACAGTGGCAAATGAGCTACGACCAATCTGATTGCTATCTCCAAAATCTAGGTAAACAGTAACAGCATCAACCAAGACTTAGCTCAGCACTCAACCTTGCAGTCTTCCTCCCATGAGTGATCTGAGACCCTGTTACCTTTATTCACAGTAATTGTTCTTTGTGTGAGAAAGGGCTGTTTCATGAGGCCTTCACTAAGATGCTTTGCTGGAACTCCAGTCATCTTTACTACATCAGATACAGTCACTTTTAATACCAGGAGGGGGACAGAATCTTTACCCTGAATAAGAAAATATACCATAGTGAAAATAAACAATGGACTTTTTATTACTCCCCCCCTTTTTTTTTATTTAGCTGTGTGGCTCTCTTTCTCTGGAACTGTCACATAATTTATTCTGTTAAAAAAGATAAGCTGCACAGGAAAGAAGTTTGCAAAAGCTCTGTTAGCTCTTTGGTTTTGCCAATCCATCTGCATCTACATGCATTACCAAGTTCGTTCTTTGCACTGTTTTCCTCTCTATCCCTTAGGGGACTTGTTCTCAACCTTTTTAAGACTCAAGGCACTCCTCCTTGGATTCAAGGTATCCCTCATTAGATTCTAGGCACCCCTTGTTAGATTCAAAGTATCCCTCATTAGACTCAAGGAATCCCTGGGAAAATGCCATTTCTTACTTTTCACTTATTTTTTGACTACAGAAAAATAGCATAATTCTTCTGTTGCAAATAACTCATAAAGACTACAATAGGGTGAGAAAAATACAATAGGGTGAGAAAATCCATGTTTTTAACACTATGGATTCCTATTTGAAATCTCTGGTTTTATCTTGGGAATTATGTTTGCAAACCAACTGTGCTAACATTGCATGGCACCCCACAGCACACTTGAAAGAATCTTAAAGCATCCCAAGGTGTCCCCTGTTTGAGAATCGTTGCCTTAAGGTAATATTGCTACTTGATAATAGCTGTTGGGTCTTTAGGGGAGTCAAACTTTCCCAACGACAAAATTTCTATTTCTTTTTTTAATGCTCTAAATATTGTGGGCCAGATCTGATGTTGGTGTAAATTGGCAGATCTCTAATAAAGTCATGACATATTTCCTGACTAATGCCAGCTATGGATCCAGTCCAGCACTGCTGTTTTTCCCACTAGGTCTCAGTTATTGGAAAATAAAAGTCTGCACATCTTGCCCTTTTTTAACAACTAATATCTTTGCAATCTCAGTCTCAGTGAGTGTGGGACAGTTGGCTCTGACCTCTAGATCCTGGCCAATATAAGATTTTAATTTGACAAGAAAAGTATCCCATGCTGTCAGTAAAGTTGATGGATTTGACCAAAGCAAGGTACTACTGGCATTGCCTACAATTAGGAAAAATGTCTGGAGTGCAAAAACTCCCAATAATACAATGTCTGAATAAATGGGACCCTCGCAGCAACAAGTACAAATCAGCAGTTAAGAAAAGCTTCCCTTATTAATTGTCTTCTGAAGATACTGATGAAATATCTATGAACAGCAGGGTTAAGTATAAGAAATAGTAGGAACAAATGAAATGCTAGCAATGGTGTAGGCCTGGTATTAGGCAGTAGTCATTTTTTTTAATCTAAGGAAAGGACTGCAACAAATATTTCTACTTTGTTTTTGGAAAAAAAACAGAGTGAAAGCCTTTCTATTGCATCAGTAACTAGGGAAAATATTAATAAGAAAATATTAAAATACACATTGTTTAAATCTTTAGGACCAGATAACTTGTACCCAATGATATTAAAAATAATTACTCTGGAGCTCTCTAAATCATTAATGCTGCTTTTAATAAATCTTGAAATATTAGGGAAGTTCCAAAGAACCACATAAGAGCCAGTATTGTGCTGATATTTAAAAAACGGCAAATAAGATGACCCAGGAAACCATAAATAGGGCGTCATTGGTCCCTGTCATTGGTCATGGGCAAAAACCATAGAAACGTTGATTATGACACAAGTAGAGGTGCACTGATACATCAGTCTGATATCTGATCAGCACTGATATAAAGAAAATTGACTGTATCAGAAATTGGCTTTTTTTAGCCTAATGTGGCTGATAAATGTCCCATGCAAATGCAACTGCAACACAGCACGTAGGCAGCAAGGAGCGGAGCCCAGCAGCTTGGAGATCTGTGTCCACTGGTAAATTTGTTGTAGTGGAAGGGGAGGGAGAAAGCATTGGGCGAAAAGATCAGTTTGAGTACTGTGTCCAGTATTGGGCGCCGCACTTCAAAAGGGATGTGGCCAGCCTGGAGAGGGTTCAGAGGTGAGAGGGCAGCAGGACAGGCCCTATACGGAGAGACTGAGGGACCTGAACCTGTTCAGCCTCAGCAAGAGGAGGCTGAGGGGGGGACCTGGTGGCTGCCTACAAGCTCATCAGGGGAGATTATCAGCAAATGGGTAGAGCCCTTTTCTCCCCAGCATCACCTGGGGTAACAAGGAACAATGGTAATAAGCTGATGGAGAATAGGTTTAGGTTAGAGATCAGAAGGCAATATTTTACAGTTAGGGTGGCCAAAATCTGGAACTATCTCCTAGAGAAGTGGTCCTTACCCCTACCTTGGGCAAATTCAAGAGGAGGTTGGACGATCTCCTGTCTGGGGTCTTGTGAACCCAGCATTCATTCCTCCCTGTGGCAGGGGGTCAGGCTAAGTTATCTGTTCAGGCCTCTCCTAACCCTAGCTACTGTGAAACTATGAAACTATCAAGGCCCCTGCGGTGAGGGAGGGAGTGGGGCTGGGGCAGGGCAGGGTGTGGGACAAAGCTGCAGCTCTTCCCAGTAGGGCCTGGGCCAGGCTGTGCACAAGGCAGGCAGTGGCGGTGCTGGGAGGTGTCTACAGTGGGGGCTACAATGTAGGCTGCAGCTCCCCCCCCACATAGCCCCTCTACCAGCGCCACCACTGCCGCCCACCCTGAGCACAGCCTGGCCCAGCCCTCACTGGGAAGAGCACGCCGCAGCCCCGGCCCCGGCCCCAGCCCACAGTGGCAGCCTGCCCCGTCACTGACAGTTCTGGGAGCATATGCCCCCCATGCCTCCCTGGGTGTGTGTAGTGGTGGGAGCTGCCGCCCGTCCCCTGTCCCCCGCACCCCAGGGACAGGTCATGGCTCTGTCCCACTCCCCACCTGACCCTGGCTGACCAGCGCCTGCCCCAGTCCCTGCCCCAGCCCCACTTCCTCCCTCACTGCAGGGGTCTTGATCAACAGACTTACCAGCTGAACACTGCTCTTCAAGCTGCCCAGCTGAGTATAAGAAATCGAATCGGTATCAGCCAATATGCCTCTTTAAAAATCAGATATCGTTATTGGCCCCCAAAATTGTCGGTGCACCCCTAGTCACAAGTAGTAAAGATTAAGTATGGGGAACATAATGCCAATAAGTAACATTTTATAGCAATAGAGTCCTGTCAAGCAAACACAACTAAGATCTACAGTTTGTTGATAAAGATAACTGCATTTGCATAATATGCTGAGATATCTCTATTTTATTTTATTTAATTTTGTCAAAATGTTTCATTTGCAGAAAATTAAGGGTTGACTTGGTCACAGCCTGCAGGTCCCTGCATTAGAAAGAGCTATCTAATAGCAAGCAGCCCTGATCTCTAGAAGGCAATGGAACAATGAGATCCAGTGGCTAGGCACTGAAGCTGGGGAAGTTCAGATTAGAAATAAAAGTAAGTTTTACAACACTAAGAGTAAATGACTATTGGAACCAGTTTTCTGGCAATGTGATAGATTCATCTTTGTGTAAAGTCTTTAAAAATCCAGATAGGTTGCATTTCTAACTGTCTCTAGCGGGTTATGGAATAGAGAAAATCCCACACAATTTACTGATTCGTTTTGATGCACTGGCTGGGGGGTAGTTAGCTGATTGCACGATTTCACAATGATTACACACTTAATTCATACAACACAATTTTATTTTAAAATTCTTTGCTACGTATATAACACTGCTTAGCTTTAAGAAATACCACAAACATTAAGAACACAATAATTACATATATCAGAAACAATGTTCCGAATGCACTTCCTTCCCAAACAATGCTATAAGAATTAGTATTACAAAACCAACTACAATTACAACTAAAAGTTAAATTTGAATCAATACTGTTATTTTTCATAATATACTTACAATCCTAGAATTCCGAGAAGCCAAATACCAAAATATGGTTTCATTCCTCAGTAGTACAATTTAATGGGTTGGCCTCAGTAGTGCGGTTCAATGGGCTCGCCTCAGCAATACAATTCAATAGGCTGGCCTCAATACTGATAGGACTAAGTCCCCTTCTTTCAGTCCCTTTCGGGCGCTCTGCAGCTTCAGCGTGAACTAAGAGATTTGTGTTCACAGAGAGGGTGGTTCAGGTGATCAATCTGATCCGGCCTACACTTGCGATTCTTCCTTCGTTGTTCTGCAAGTATAGTCACCTCCAAATTGGGACAGTAGGTTACAGTTTTTATTGAGTGAGCTGCCGTCTTGGGCCACTCCTACTCAAACCTGTCATTACCCCCAAATTTGGGCTCGGATCTTACTCAACAGATTCTTTTGCTTAGTAATTAGTTTCTTTTGTTAATCATTTTAAATTACTTTGAGGAACTTCCATACCACTGCAAGTGACCTTTTCTTACCAATCTGGTCAAAAGGCTCTAGGGTTTGATCTCTCGGAACTCAGGATATTTGCTCTTTGTAAAAGACTTCTAAAGATAAAATTCAAAAGTTAAAACTTTAAGCAAAGTCAGGACCTTTTGCACGTAGTCCAAAACAATGAGCTAGATAAGGAAATAAATCTTATCTTCTTCCTGAAACTGGCTAATGGGCAACCATCACAAACATTCAAACTATTTCATTCAATATGACACTAACAGATATGGTATAGATATGCCATAACAACAAAAGTTATGCACTTCATACAGCAATTACTGGGTGAAGTTCTTTGTCCTGTGTTATGCCAAAAGTTACACCACACAATCAGAATGGGCCATTCTGGCCTGAATGTCTTCTGTCCTCCCTGCAGTACAAGACCTTATTAATGACATTTACTTAAGTAAAATTCTCTTGGGTTTAATGGGTGAGTTGGTAGCAGAACTGTATATGCAGATCCACTCAATAGAAACTTCAGTGGGTCATGGGTCTGTTCATAAGGACACATGATTAAAGGTGACAGAATTGGTCAGAAAATGACTTCTAAATACATTGGGACATGCAGAACAAAGCTGATTTCTTTCAAGAACTGCTTGGACCCAAATCGTTGACTTCAGCAAAAGTTTTATCTTGAGTCAGGTGTAAGAGCTACAGGTTTGACTCTTAATTGGGAAAATGGTGTTCTATAAGGAAAGAATTGAAAAGTGTTGAAAAATTGATAGAGGGGTTGCTGTGCTGATTATTTTTTTCCCTCTCACTTTGCAGTTGTCTGCAATATAAGGCTTGCACTACTTCAAAGTCAGCAAACTCTGCTTACTTTTTTGAGTAGCCCCATTGGATTTAGTTAATAAACCCTCAGAAGTTAAATGACTTCAGTGGGACCACAAACAGTAATAAGCACTCTGCCTAGTAGCAAGTTTTTGTGTGATGGGGTCCTATTACAGAAGGCCATTTTGAATCCCATGCTTTAAAAAGAGGTAACAGACCACTCTGTTTTCTGACATGGACTTCACAGAACTGTGTTTTGATAGGTGCACTGGAAGCACAAGTCTTTAGTAACTGCCCTTTACAGTGCATCTCTGTTCTGAGAAAAAAGGATATTTCTTGTAAAGAGTAAACAATAACACTATACTTACCCAACTGTGATGTGGTTACATTCAGCCACCAAAAGGGGAAGGAGTCAAATTAGTAATGCAAACCTGAACCCAAAAGAATTGAAAACGAAAGGAAAAAGAGAGCTTTTTTGGATTCTTGATCCAATCAGATGTAAAATCCCAAAGACATTAGTTTGAGCTAGATTTATACCTTAAAGAACTTTAGCCCGTAGAATCCTTTATAGTCGCGAGCTTATGTTGCAAGCGTCTTCAGTATTCTGAACCACCTTGCAGTCTGTGAAGGAGAGCTGTCCTGAAAAAGCTTGCCTGAGGTCATAGTTTGGACAGAAAAAGTAGCTGATGTTGCAGATGGCTGTATAATGTCAGCTTCTTCCCTAAAGCGGGATTTGAGGCTTTACTATAACACATCCAGGCTTAGCCTGAGAATGAGATGAAAAAAAGCTCCTTTCTGGTGTTTAAGTGAAGAATATGCAGCAAATACATATAATGCTTTTGTAAAAATCCACTATAGCTATTCTTGCACCCCGATCATACTATTTTCATTAAGCACTTGCAGCGAATTCCTCCATTTAATATCATAAGTCACCAAATTAAATAGCTATACACAAAATTTTAGAAAAGGAAGATCAATACTGTAGCAAAACTGCATATGAGCAATAAAAAGCTTTATAGAGAAAAATATTGATCCATCTGGTTGAATGCTTAGGGGGATTTGTTTGTTAGTGTGTTTGTTTGTTTGTTTGGAGCATTCATTTATACATCTAGGCATAGGGTTTCCTTTATCGGAGCTGGCTCTGATCTCAAGACTGGTACAGACATAGAAATGCTTAGAATGTTCTTATTTACCCTCTGATCCTCATTCCCTGCACCCATTAGCTGCTCTGTCTATGTTTATTTTCTTAGTCAAGTGGAAGACAGGTCTGAATGACCTCCACTATATCAGTGCTATGCCATAAGAATGCAATCTTCCAACTGCCAATAAAAATCCTGTGTCAAGAGGTATCCATTTAACACCCTACTCCCACCTCCCCAGAGCATCCAGCTCCACTGACCCCACTAAGGGATGGCAAGAAGAAGTTGTGTTATACTGAGCTAATATCTCTGGCCTATAATATACTGAGTACTGACCTGTATGTTAGTTGAAGGCACAGAGCACTTTGCACAATCAAACCCTGGTGTTCCAAATGCCTTGCTTGCTGGAGGCCGTGGGAAGCATGAAACTATCAAACCAAGGGCCATAAGGAACTGTTTAACTGCACAACACTCATTTGATTAGCTATTAATGTGTCTTGGGCTTCACTCAAAACAAGGATGAAATGCACAGGGCAATATCACAAAATGAGAAATAAATGAAAGACTTGTGCTTTCTCTAAGATTGGACATAATCTGATAAGAATGACTCCTCTTATTTTGCATTAAGCTACTAGAAAAGAAAACAATTTTACTCCTAGAATTTTTCTACATTTTTATGGTGGTTTTA